GAGAGGGAGTTGACTTCTTCCAGACCTTCTCCCCGACCCCGAAGATGACCACTCTTCGGGTTCTGCTACACGTCGCCGCTCAGCGTGCCTACGAGCTCCACTCTCTTGACTTCAGCACAGCTTTCTTGCAGGGCAGCCTGCACGAGGAGATCTGGCTGCGCCGCCCACCTGGCTTCACTGGGTCGTTTCCTCCTGGTACCCAGTGGAGCCTCAGGTTGTCAGAATGTTATTTGTCTAGCTTGCAGTGGGGTGCTCAATAGTGAGTACAACCCCTTAGGGTTTGCCATTTTGTGTGTCCTGCTGCTTCCTAGTCTCTCATTCTTCCTTCCAATTCTCCTTCGTAAACCCTAACTCCTAGTTCTAGAGCAAGCCCACCTACCTCCTAGTGTGAGCCTAGGCTACTAAGCCTAGGCCCCACACCTACTATTCTAACATGGTATCTAGAGCCGGCATGATCCTGCCGCCTAGTTCATCGGGCCCACCACCTACTTCCGCTGCCGTACTATCCGCCGCGCGCCCCGTGGTGCGCGGCATTGCATTTTCATCCCGCCACGCGCTTCGAACGCGTGGCGGCTTTTTCTGCCCGCCGCGCGCTCGGGGCGCGCGGCGGTTTTCCCGTCCGTCGGAGCGCCCTCGAGGGGGCCTGCGCGCTGCCCTCCCCGCTGCTCGTCACGGCGCCCCCTGCGGGACCCGCGCGGCATTGCCCTACTCGTCGCGACGTCCGTGCGGGACCCGCGGGGCGTCGCCCCTGCTCGTCGCGACGCCCCCTGCGGGACCCGCGCGGCGTTGCCCTGCTCGTCGCGACGTCCGTGCGGGACCCGCGGGGCGTCGCCCCTGCTCGTCGCGACGCCCCCTGTGGGACCCGCGGGGCGTCGCCCCTGCTCGTCGCGATGCCCCCTGTGGGACCCGCGGGGCGTCGCCCCTGCTCGTCGCGACGCCCTCGCGGGACCCGCGGGGCGCCGTCAGATCCTGCAGCAGCAGCCGCCGCCGCCCTGCAGCAGCAGCCGCAGCCAGGCCTGCAGCAGCAGCCGCCGCTAGAGCCTGCAGCAGCAGCCGCCGCCAGAGCCTGCAGCAGCAGCCGCCGCCAGAGTCTGCAGCAGCAGCCGCCGCCAGAGCCTGCAGCAGCAGCCGCCACCGAGCCTGCAGCAGCAGCCGCCGCCAGGCCTGCAGCAGCTGCCGCCACCGAGCCTGCAGCAGCAGCCGCCGCTCTACCAGCAGCAGCAGCCGCCGCCGCTCTGCCGCAGCAGCCACCGCCGCCCAGCAGCAGCAGCCGCCGCCAGAGCCTGCAGCAGCAGCCGCCGCCAGAGCCTGCAGCAGCAGACGCCCCTGGAGCTGCCCGCCACTGCAGCAGCCGCCCCTGGTGCAGCCGCCGCTGGTACAGCCGCCCCTGGTCCCTGGAGCAGCCGACCCTGCAGCAGCCGCCCCTGGTCCCTGGAGCGACCGCCCGTGCAGGAGCCGCCCCTGGCCCCTGGAGCAGCAGCCCCTGCAGCAGCCGCCCCTGGACCTCAGAAGCCGCCCCTGGACCCGGTACGCTCTGTGCTGCCCGTGCCTGTGCTGCCCGTGCCTGTGCTGCCTGTGCCTGTTGCTGCCTGTGCCTGTTGCTGCCTGTGCCTGTGCTGCCCGTGCCTGTGCTGCCCGTGCCTGTGTTGCCCGTGCCTGTGCTGCCTGTGCCTGTTGCTGCCCGTGCCTGTGCTGCCCTGTGCTGCCTGTGCCTGTTGCTGCCTGTGCCTGTGCTGCCCGTGCCTGTGCTGCCCGTGCCTGTGCTGCCCGTGCCTGTGCTGCCTGTGCCTGTTGCTGCCCGTGCCTGTGCTGCCCTGTGCTGCCTGTGCCTGTTGCTGCCTGTGCCTGTGCTGCCCGTGCCTGTGCTGCCCGTGCCTGTGCTGCCCGTGCCTGTGCTGCGTGTGCCTGTTGCTGCCCGTGCCTGTGCTGCCCTGTGCTACCCGTGCCTGTTGCTGCCTGTGCCTGTGCTGCCCGTGCCTGTGCTGCCCGTGCCTGTGCTGCCCGTGCCTGTGCTGCCTGTGCCTGTTGCTGCCTGTGCCTGTTGCTGCCTGTGCCTGTGCTGCCCGTGCCTGTGCTGCCCGTGCCTGTGTTGCCCGTGCCTGTGCTGCCTGTGCCTGTTGCTGCCCGTGCATGTGCTGCCCTGTGCTGCCTGTGCCTGTTGCTGCCTGTGCCTGTGCTGCCCGTGCCTGTGCTGCCCGTACCTGTGCTGCCCGTGCCTGTGCTGCCTGTGCCTGTTGCTGCCCGTGCCTGTGCTGCCCTGTGCTGCCTGTGCCTGTTGCTGCCTGTGCCTGTGCTGCCCGTGCCTGTGCTGCCCGTGCCTGTGCTGCCCGTGCTTGTGCTGCCTGTGCCTGTTGCTGCCCGTGCCTGTGCTGCCCTGTGCTGCCCGTGCCTGTGCTGCCTGTGCCTGTTGCTGCCCGTGCCTGTGCTGCCCTGTGCTGCATGTGCCTGGTGCTGCTCGTGCCTCGCGCTCGCGCCCTCGTGCGCTCTGCTACTCTCTGCGCCCTCGTGCGCACTGTTTCTGCTCTCCCCCCCCCCCCCCGTTTGCGGGTATGGGGGTGGCTGGTGTGCATTCCTCCCTTTGCTCCTGCTCCTCCTTCGTCTCCCACTGCTGCAGCTGTCGCTGAGGGGGGTGGTTGTGTGGGAGACTGGGGTTTAGGGTTTAAGGGGGGTGCGTGGGAGTGGAGCTAGCGGTGTAGCAGCGGGTGTGTGTCAGGGGGGTGGGACTATTTGGGGAAGCTGCATGGAAGTTGCCGTACTGTTGTCCGCAGCACCTGTAGTCCGGGGCGCTGTCCCGGTAGCCCAGTGAGCTAGACTTCTACGCCAGCCGCCCGTAGGTCCGTTGCTCGTCTGCCGCTACTTTAGCCGCGGGGCCTGTTACTCCTGTAGTCCGGGCGCTTAGTCCGGTAGCCGCTGTGCCAGTCTGCCTCCTGTTGCCCGTGTGTCTGCAGCTTCAGCCGTCTCCTCCTATATCCTCTCCCCTCACTCTCTCTCCTCCTCCTCACTTGCCCGTTGTGACTACCACTAGCTATGCTCATAATTCTTAACTTTAAACTATTGCTTCTTTAACTTGTGCTCAGAATGTGTGGTGACATTGTGATCCACCCTGAGCTTGTACTGCTTTGCCTGCTCTGCTGATTACACCCCACTTTGGCTATGGGGGTGTGTCAGAATGTTATTTGTCTAGCTTGCAGTGGGGTGCTCAATAGTGAGTACAACCCCTTAGGGTTTGCCATTTTGTGTGTCCTGCTGCTTCCTAGTCTCTCATTCTTCCTTCCAATTCTCCTTCGTAAACCCTAACTCCTAGTTCTAGAGCAAGCCCACCTACCTCCTAGTGTGGGCCTAGGCTACTAAGCCTAGGCCCCACACCTACTATTCTAACACACGCGACCAGTATACGGTCTCCGCCAGGCGCCACGTGAGTGGCACGACACACTGAGGACTACACTTGCGGCTCTTGGGTTCGCTCCTTCTACTGCTGACCCGTCGCTGTTTCTACGCACCGACACCTCACTGCCGCCGTTCTACATCCTCGTGTACGTCGACGACTTGGTCTTTGCCACTTCTGACACAGCTGGTCTCGCTCACGTGAAGTCCGAGCTGCAGAAGAGACACACGTGCACAGACCTGGGTGAACTGACAAGCTATCTTGGCTTGCGGATCACCCGGGACAGAGCACGGCGCACCATCACCTTGACTCAGTCACACATGGTGCAGCAGGTCCTTCAGCGCTTCGGCTTTACGTACTCCTCGCCTCAGTCCACTCCTCTGCCTACGGGACACTCGCTCTCAGCTCTGCCTTCGGATGAGTCCGTAGAGCCGAGTGGTCCGTACCCAGAGCTTGTGGGCTGCCTCATGTACCTGATGACCTGCACTCGACCTGACCTTGCATACCCTCTCAGCATCTTAGCACGCTATGTCGCTCCCGGCCGTCACCAGAAGGAGCACATGGATGCAGCTAAGAGGGTGTTGCGCTACTTGTGCAGTACGTCGGGCATGGGGCTAGTGCTTGGAGGGCGAGACCGGCCTGTTCTCACTGGGCACTCAGACGCTTCTTGGGCAGACGACCAGGCTACTCAGCGGTCGTCTCAGGGTTACACCTTCAGTCTTGGCTCTGGCTCTGTCTCTTGGCGTTCTACTCGTTCCTCTTCTGTTCTCGGCTCCAGCTGTGAGGCTGAGATCTACGCCACGGCCATGGCTGCCCAGGAGCTTCGCTGGCTCACCTACCTGCTGACTGACCTTGGAGAGCAGCCTCGTTCTCCTCCAGTGCTGTACGTCGACAACAAGGCAACCATAGCCTTGTGTCAGGAGCACAGACTGGAGCACAGGACGAAGCACATTGCTCTGCGTTACTTTCTAGCTCGAGAGCTACAGCAGCGTGGTCAGCTTCTTCTGCGTTACGGGGCCACTGAGGCCAACACTGCTGATGTGTTCACCAAGGCGCTTCCGCCTGGTTACCATCAGCGTTTTTGCACTCTTCTAGGCCTTGTGCCGACTGTTCCTCACTTGCTTACTTCTTGACCTTGCCTGTACTGTGATCATTATATATATACCTGCATGTTTGCCCTTGCTAGGTTGTGATCATTGTACCTCTTGCTCTGTTATAAAACTGCATGTGAACTGGTCTTGTGACCGCTTACTTGTGCTCGGAATTTGTGTGGAATCCTCGAGATCCACCCTGAGCTTGTTTGCCTTGCTTTGCCTTGACTGGTCTTGTGACCCCTAGGTCTCCCCCACTTTGCCTATGGGGGTGTGTCAAACATTATATGTTTGTGTGGTTCTAGGTTGTAGTGGGTCACACCATAGGGGGTACACCAGTTTAGGGTTTCATATTTGTACTGTTGTTCTTGCTAGTCACACACATTCCTGTTTCTCAGAGCTCCTCCTCCTCCTCCTCTACCTCCTCCTCCTCCTCCTCCTCCTCCTCCTCCTCCTCCTCCTCCTCATCCTCCTCCTCCTCCTCCTCCTCCTCCTCCTCCTCCTCCTCCTCCTCCTCCTCCTCTTCACATCGCCCTGTTTTGGCTTTGTTCCCGTCCCTCCGCATCCTCCTCCTCCTCTGCCTCCTCCTCTTCCTCCTCCTCCTCTGCCTCCTCCTCCTCCTCCTCCTCCTCATCCTCCTCCTCCTCCTCCTCCTCCTCCTCCTCCTCCTCCTCCTCCTCCTCCTCCTCCTCCTCCTCCTCCTCCTCTTCGTCCTCCCCGCCATCATTCTCATCTTTTTCATCCTCCCCAACATCCGCGTCATCCTCCTCCGCTTCCTCTTCATCCTCCTCTCCCTCCGCATCCTCCTCCTCATCCTCCTCCTCCTCCGCATCACCGAGGTCTTCATCGCCCCGTTTTGGCTTTGTTCCCGTCGCTGCTTTCTTGCCTCTCCTTCCGCCGGATGCTTTTCTTGCTGCGGGTCGGCCCTTCTGGCGCAATGCTTGACCGCCCACCTTGCCACTAGCTTCCTTGGCGCCTCGCGGTATCCCAACTGCCGCGCCTCCGGCGTCGTCAGCACTACCTGTCGTCTGCCGCCTCTTCGCCCGCGTAATGAGGTCCCCGGGCACGACGGTGTCATAATCGTCCTCCCCATCACTCTTCCTCTGCCTACGCCTCCCCCGTCCACCAGAAGGTGGAGAGCCACCGACCAGCCCCACCGACTCGTGCTCCCCCACCTTGTCCTTATCCAGCACGGCTGCAGAAACTTCGACCACGGTCGGCTAGAGCAGCATCAGATGGTGTTGCGTTGCCGCCGCCTCGGACTCCTTGGTTGCAGCATGCTCGGCGCGGGGATCGCCTCCGTGATTTCCCTCCGTCGCCGATCCCTCCATCTCCGCCGACGGGAGTGCAAGACTCGCGCTCCCTCGCCCCGGATCTTCGTTGCCGTTAGTGGTGCCGTCTTTACTCGGACCGGGCTCGGTTCCAGCAGAGGCAACATCCGCATCTTTGTTCATTGTAGAAACACGCTTGCGTGGCATTGGTTTAGGCCCCTTGTCTTCCGCTTTCTTGCCGGCCTCCTGTTGACCGCGCGCGACCTTTTTTGCCGCCGCTTTTTTCTGCCCAATGCCACGAACGACGGACGCATTAGTTTTTTTAGCACCGCCACCACACTCCCTATCGATTTGTTTAGACTTCCTCCTTGTCGCGCGGCGGCCGGCCTGTTCCTCCTCCATTGCTTGGTTACGTGTTGCACGTGTCATGGTAATTGTAGGAGGAGCAAAGTTGCAAATCGCGCGGAAGGGTTGAGCCGGTTTCGAAAGGGTTCTGCAACTGAATCCCACGATGGGATTATCGACGGTCTATCACTGTTATGTGTTTCCGAAAACCGCTGCTTCAACTAAATCTGTCATAGTAGCCACTATGCTTTGCGCTAAGGCCGATCTGGAGAGGCGTGTGTCAAGGCAACAAGCAGCGTCAAAGTGTTGGTCCAGGGAGTGACGGAAGCAGGTGGGTGGGACACGAGGGTGGTTGGGGTGGGTTGCGAGACTAGAGAAAGTAATGTAACCCTATCACGCTATATTGGATGGTGTACATGTAGCCACCCTAGCATAAACCCACCTACCGCTCGATCTCAGCCGCTCAATGGCTGAAGTACCTCTTGGCTGATGACTGTGTTGCGGGGGGAATCGTTTGAGATGCGTCGGCCAATCACGGTTGCCAACGCATAAATCACTAAATTTTATTCAAACATACAACAATGCATTTCATCAAACTCTAAGTTGCAAATGGTTTACCACGGGGTTGGGGTAAGTTTATCGGTGATTCTTACGTCACACACACAACGAGCGTCCAGAATTATTACTTGTGACAGATGTACTGTGCACTTTTAGGCTTTGCCACAATGGTTTAGGGCCAGCGGACGACATTCTAACACGATTATCAATAGTAACAAATGTGAATCCGTTGTGGTATGGTGTTGGATTGTCATCCATTCTTGCACGGACATTAAACAAGGTGCTTAGAAGGAGTGGTATGAAGCACAGGCCCAACGCACAAGAGTAGATGCGTTATAGATAGCCATGGTTAGACTGTGCGACGATGCAGCATTCAGGCCTGCGGGTTGCGCGACATGGTGAATCCATTGTGGTATGGTGTTACATTGGCATCCATTCTTGCACAGACATTAAACAAGGTGCTTAGAAGGAGTTGTATGAAGCACAGGCCCAACGCACAAGCGTAGATGCGTTATCGACAGCCATGGTTAGACAGTGCGACGATGCAGCGTTCAGGCCTGCGGGTTTAGCGACATGGTGAATCCGTTGTGGTATGGTGTTGCATTGTCATCCAACATTGCATGGACATTGAAACCGTTGTGTTATTGTACGACATTGTCATCCATTCTTGCATATTCATTCAGCACGGTGCGTAGAGGTACACTACACCTCGAGAGAAGACACGCTATAGGTATTCGCTCCACGCAACAATCATACGTTAGGGCATGGAGTTATTGGGTACTTCCCGTATCGTTATCAAGTAAGGGTTGTTCAACATCAGTCCTAAGGATATGAATGTTTTCCAGTTATGAATGACTTGAGTGTCTTGTTAAGTTGTAATTGTACATTTGCATTTCCATGTTTGTTTGAAGCCTCTTGAGCTCACCTACGTGATTCTGATTTCCCCCCTATATCGATTCGCGACACAATCACAGACCCAAACGGATCTCTTCCCGCTCTTCCTCATCCCCCTCGACTCTCACGCACGGTTCCTAAACACAAGTTCTTGATTCAATAGGCACGTCCTTCTCACCGTGCTCGCGACGCACACACACGACCGTGAGACTTAAGATCCTCCGCATTCTCCTCTGCTCACGTCGTGGTCACTCTAAATGGGGGCGACACGCCTTGTAGGGAAGACGGCCCGTAAGGTGGGCGGTCTGTATTGTGCCTGGTAACGACCACGCGGCTCGACATCGTTAGCCAGTCATAAACATTAGCGCCAATGTCAAGTGCCAGTCGTGCAGTGATACAAGCCGCCCACCACAGTGCGCGCATTGGCGATGATCGTGTAGCTGTCACAGGCTTCTTGAACGGAGTACTTAATGCGTTCACAAGCTTCATCACGGCTAGTAGCTTCATAGGCGATTTCTCGACTCTACAACGGATCCGTAACACATGGGCTCTTTACCAGGCATCGTCTGCGAGTTCTGCAACAGATGGTTCCCCAACGCCCACGTTTATGGCGGTCATAAGTCACGGCGGACCTCTTGCCAAGGACTATCCGCCGTGGCAAGGCCGACGCGATCTACACCGACCGCCGATCTTCACGCTCTGCTATTCGTCCACGACATTCTGTCGGACGCTCCAGCCACTCCCGGTTCACCTACAGCGTCTAACGCATCCAACGCCGTCAGTATGAGCGGTCCTCCACGCGTGCCTGAAGCTCACGTTGACGAAACTCCCAACGACGTGAACGAGGGGCCTCTTGAAGATGAACATCAACCACAACCAGGAGCTTCTGCGGCTGACACGAGTGACCATCCTGAGAGCCGGCCCGAAGGGAGTCATGCCGCACCGCCAACAATCATCTGCGGACAGAGCAATGCCACGCCCCTCAATCAGCTTGCGTTGAAGCTGCTGCATTTCGTTCGGCGCGTGAATGGCGGAATGGGAATGGCCGAGGTTGACATCAACGGCCTGCTTCAGCTAGTCGTAGAGCCCGGCCTTGCGCCTCTTGTGATCTCGGAGCTCCAGAAGTGTAAGGATCTGGAGCGGTTCGAGATGGAGCGTTTGGCAGGGCTCAATCGCGGATGGTCGGTGGCGACCTTCGAGATTGACGGTCATCCACCACAGCGCTTGCTCTTTCAGAACTCAGCCCAGGTAAGCCGACTTTGCATTCAAGGCCGTGAAATGATGATGAGGCACACAGGGTTTGCATATACGTAGTTATCCTTGTATTAACCGTACACCCACCTTCACCGCCACTAACCATGCCTCTCCTCTCACCTGCCTTCGCCACCGTACACCAGGCATTCGCTGAAATGTTTGGACATCCCAACAACGCGCCCGGCTTCAAGCTCAAGGCACGTGTTGATGAGGACCCTGACGCAGGCAGCCGTCGCTATACCACGCCTGAAACAAGAACGTGGTGGAACGATGCTCAGGTAAGGAAAGACCACGTTGGCACCCCAAACCCAATCCTTCCTCATGCCTCCATCGCTGCACTGATCTGTCAAGAGCATCTTGAGCCCTAAACCGTGTGTCCGTTGCCGCTTTGTCGTGCACTGCAGGAACACTTCGGTTGGTCCGAAGTTGTGGGGGGGATCATCTTATATTCGGATGTGACGCACATGAGCATCAACGGCCGGAAGAAGGCGTGGCCACTCATGATGACGCTGGCCAACATCTCCCAGGCCAAGCGATGGGGGAAAGCTGAGCACACACTACTTGCCCTCCTTCCTATCCCCCCGTCTGCAATATCTGCCGTGGAGAAGGTGATGCTCTTCCAGCGTTGCGTCATCACCGTGCTGCAGCCGCTTCTTGATGGCATCGCCAGGTCCGTACTCGGTTTGCATCTTGCTAAGACATCATCTCACCACCTGCATGGTATGCAAACCCTCTCTGTATGTAGCATGGCCCTTTGCCCCTCGTCGTTCCTCCCTAAAAGCCGTAACCCGAATTCCTGTTGCCCCTCTACCTGTTCCTTGCAGCGGGTTCCGTCTTAGGGACCCTTTCGGTGATTGGCAAACCGTGCGGCCCCTGCTGTACGTCTGGGTGTGCGACTACCCCGAGAGCGGCAAGATCAGTTGCACACTCTCGCATGGATCGCGGATGCCGTGCAGCATCTGCTATGCTGCAAAGGTGAGGTCACATGCCATCTGCACGCATTCAAATACATTCTCGTTTGTGGGTCGCCTGATGGAACCCACATAGCTACCACCCTTACCTTTTCTATCCCATCCCTCACCCCCGTGCTACAACAGGAGCATCTGAGTGCTGTCAAGGCACGGAACACGCCGCGCACGCCTGAACAGCAGCAATGGATCGTTAACGAGGCGGCTGGGACGACAACTAGCAAGGCTGACCCGTGCAAGGCCTACTCTACCTACCCTATTGAGGTGACCTGTTTCCCCGGCCCATGAGTAGTCTATGCTCTTGCCTGCCCCGTCATGAATTGCCAGATGTGCTCTGCCCCATTGAACTCACCCCACTTGTGGTTTAGGTTAGCTATCCACTCTCACGTACATCTCTCCTCCATTCCTCACCACATCCCCATTTCCAATGTGTGCTCTGGAAGTGGGATGTCCTAGGGACCGCGTGGGGCAATCCCTACCTTGTGGTGATGCCTGACATCATGCACCAGGCGGACCTGGGCATCATGAGCCACATTGTGGCTGTCGTGCGCAAGATGAAGAAGCGGTGTGTGAAGCAAATGGACATGTCAGTGTTTTGTGGATTGGATTCATTGCTCTTCGTCACATTTACTCATACCATAAGTTCTGTCCTATTACTGACATGTTTCTGCCCTTTTGCCACCGCTGAACTGATGTGTATGGGCAGGCGTCTGTCTCTCATTCGCGACCGCACGCGCCTGAATCACATGCGCCTGCCGGAGAGCGCCTACTTCGAGACCGGAGCATGTGTGGCGGCCTATGAGCACAGGGCCGTCATGCAGGTATGAACCCTCCATTCCCTGTTGCTTGTCCTGGCCTAAACCCTCAAGCAGTCTGCTCATGCTGCCATTGTTTGTCCCAACTCTTCACAGCATCTGTGCTCACCCTCCCCTTTGCTGCTATCCACATTCTTTGCATGTCATGGTGTTTGTTTTTGCAGGCCTGCTTCGCCAGCCCCAGATGGATGCCGTTCGTGCCTATCTTGGCTGGTACATCCTCAGCTCCCAACCTCAATGGCACACTAAGCGGTCCCTCGGGGAGCTGAAGAAGATGACCTCTCGGTAATAATACCACGCATGTAAACCCCCGTGCATGGGATGAAAGCTTGGCTACTGTAAATGTGCTCTTGTAGTAGGCAATCTTGTGAGGATGTTTGGTGCTAAACTTTGATAGGAAAGGATCAGGTTAAGGAAAACCATATGAATAAGTAGACTCTGTGATTGCATGTGTTGTCATCTCCCACTCCCATCAGGCTCGTTGAGCAGTTGCAGGCTGCGTTTCCAAAGCAGCCATCCTCTTGGTGCCTTGTGAAAACACATCTCATGTCGCACTACGTTGACTCCATACGTCGTGCGGGTCATGTGACTGAATTCAGCACCAACATGTTCGAGCACTTGCACGGACCGTTGGTAAAGAGGATCTACCGTCGGTCCAACAAGCGCAATGTAGATGGGCAGATCATGAAGTTCCATGCCAGGCGCATTCCGGATGTGGTGCCGGTGGATGATCCTGCTGGCCGGGACACCGCCATGCGGCAGGTAAATCTGTTTAGTGCTTGAATTGCATGGATATGAATGCAGAATGTAACAATATCAATAGCATATGTTGGAAGGCGATTGAGACCGACACACGGACGCTCATCAAGGAGTCATACTTCCTCCCTGTGGAGTTACCACAAGAACCCACCTCCACCAACTGGTTTGCAAGGAAGTGGGCCAAGCAACACCCTCGTGCCCAAGCTGCCCTCAAGGATGCGCTTATGCGTTATACAGGATGCGTCACCAAGATTCGAGTAAGTAGTTGCAAGTTTATGCAATCAACCATCATTTGGCTGGCTCGTATCATACATGACTAACATCAACTGTTATGCAGGCCCATGCATCGCTGGCAATCCCTGCAGCAGACGACGCCAGCTTCTCAAGAGTTTCTCACTTCGTTCGAGCGACCCCTGACTATTTTGAGAGGCCATGGTACTCGGATGTTGCAGTGGAGGGTGTAAGGTATGGTCGGAGAGAGGAGTGGTATGCAAGGTTGCTTCTGTTGTTCCATACAAAAATACGTGGAGAGAGGGAGGAGCTGGCTTACGTTAGATATTGGAATGCAAGCGGAGAGGATACAGCAACAGGATGCCTTCGCCTCAAGTGGACAACATGAATGTTCGCGTACTCCGTGATTCCGATTGAAGCGCTGCTCCGCCACGTCCATGTGGTGAAGGCATTCCACCTAGACAGTACCTATCTCCTTAATAAGTATCACATGTGATGCATTTATCTTGTAATAAAATGGCCAGCATATTTTCAAGCAGACACATTTTAGGGAAGTCAAAGCTTAAAAAACCAATTGCAAAATCACAACAAATTTGGCACGCTTCAAATAAACGGCAATGTACCAGAGTCACGGATTCGATCTAGACTTCGACAAACAAGCACGGTCCGATTTCATTCCGTGATTGGTCGCGATTTGGCTTTGGAACTTCGCCAACCAAAACACCTGAACGGTACCCCCCTTCGAACCCCCTTCAAAAACCAAGGTTTTTTGTGATGATCGGGGGCCTTACTGAGCGCCGTCAGCCTGCGTCGCGTCCTGTCTCGCCTGTCTGTTCTGGTCGTCGCGGTCGTCGTGTTCCTCGTTCGCGTCAGCCAACTGTCCCCGACACCCACCGCGTAGTCCGTTGTCCTTCCTCTCCTCCGCAGCGTGTTCCCCTGCCGTCCCCTCCTGCGTCTTCTCTGCCTACCGTTCCTGAGCCTGAGTCCGAACGCACTCGTGCTGCTCACCCTACTGTCACGCGTCTGCCAGCCACAGTTGTCACTGACCCGTCGTTTACCACACTTGTCTCAGTTGTAGACAACCATGGACGCAAAGATGGCATCCTGGAAGTCCACAGGCACTTACGTTGACGAGGTTCCCCCTCCTGGGGCGAACATCGTTAGTGGCATGTCTATTTTGAGGGTGAAGTGGCCGCCAGGTTCTCCGCCTGTCTTCAAGGATCGTTACGTTGCTCGAGGCTTCAGTCAGCGAGAGGGAGTTGACTTCTTCCAGACCTTCTCCCCCACCCCGAAGATGACCACTCTTCGGGTGTTGCTGCACGTTGCCGCTCAGCGTGACTACGAGCTTCACTCTCTTGACATCAGCACAGCTTTCTTACAGGGCAGTCTGCACGAGGAGATCTGGCTGCGCCGCCCTCCTGGCTTCACTGGGTCGTTTCCTCCTGGTACCCAGTGGAGCCTCCGGCGGCCTGTCTACGGTCTCCGCCAGGCGCCACGTGAGTGGCACGACGCATTGAGGACGACACTTGTTGCTTTTGGTTTTGCTCCGTCGACTGCTGACCCGTCGCTGTTTCTGCGCACCGACACTTCGCTGCCGCCGTTCTACATCCTCGTGTACGTCAACGACTTGGTCTTTGCCACTGCTAACACTGAGGCTCTGGCCCTGGTGAAGTCGAAGCTACAAAAGAGACACACGTGCACGTGGATGCTGCTAAGTCACAGCTGCGCACTTACCTTGGCTTGCAGATCACCCGGGACAAAGCACGCCGCACCATCACACTGACTGAGACCCACATGGTGCAGCAGGTCCTTCAGCGCTTCGGCTTCACCTGGACCTCGGCACAGGCCACTCCTCTGGCTACAGGTCACTCGCTCTCACCTCCACCTTCGGACAAGTCCGTAGAGCCAAGTGGTCCTTACCCAGAGCTAGTGGGCTGCCTCATGTACCTGATGACCTGCACTCGTCCTGGCCTTGCGTACCCTCTTGGCCTTCTGGCTCGCTACGTGGCTCCTGGTCGGCATGGAATGGTGCACATGGATGCTGCTAAGAGGGTATTGCGCTACTTGTGCAGTACATCGGGCATGGGGCTCGTGCTTGGAGGGCGGAGCCCAGTTGTCCTCACTGGGCACTCGGACGATTCTTGGGTTGACGACCTGGCTACGCAGCGGTCGTCACAGGGTTACACCTTCTGCCTTGGCTCTGGCTCTGTTTCTTGGCGGTCTACACGCTCGTCCTCTGTTCTTGGCTCCAGTTGTGAGGCTGAGATCTACGCCACAGCCATGGCTGCATAGGAGCTACGCTGGCTCACCTACCTGCTGACCGACCTTGGAGAGCGGCCTCGTTCTCTTCCAGTGCTGTACGTAGACAACAAGGCTGCCATTGCCTTGTGTCAGAAGCACATACTAGAGCACAGAACGAAGCACATCGCTCTGCGCCACTTCCTCGCTCGAGAGTTGCAGCAGCGTTGTCAGCTTTGCCTTGCTCACGTGGCCAGTCGGGCCAACACTGCTGATATATTCACGAAGGCACTTCCGTCTGGTGATCATCAGCGGTTTGTGCTTTGTTAGGCCTTGTGCCCACGTATCCTCACTTGCTGTAGACTTTGCTTGTACTGTGATCTATATATATACATGCATTCTTGCTCTGCTAGGTAGAGATCACTGTGTTGTTGTTGTTGCATATATGCCTCTGCATGTGAACTGGCCTTGTGGCCCTTTGCTTGTGCTCAGTGTGTGTGGTGACGTTGTGATCCACCCTGAGCTTGCTTTGCTTCTCTTGACTGGTCTTGTGACCCCTTGTTCTCCCCCACTTTGCCTATGGGTGTGTCTCAAAGTATATGCATGCTATATATGTGTAGGCTGTAGTGGGGTAGCCAATATGGGGTATAGCCCCGTTTAGGGATTCATACTTGTACCCTACTCTTCCATAGTGCATTCATTCATGCTACTATATTCTAACACGGGCTGCTTAAGCGGCGCGCGCGGGAAAAAAAAAGGGGCCGCGTGCGTGCAGCCAAGGCGCGCGCGGGCAGCACGCAAGGCAGGCAGGCAGGCAAGGCCGTAGGTGAGGTAACGCGGTAACCGGTGGGCCCTAATCTTAGGTCCTAAAGATCTAGATACCATCTTAGAGACTTAGGCATGAATGAGTTGACTATCGAGAGAATTGGTACAAGGAGAAGAAAGCCTAAGGGGTTATACCCCACATTATCTACCCCACTACAGCCTACCCACAAATATAACATATGCATATGTTTGACAGCTGGGCTAGGGCACTCGGGGGCCTGCTGGCTAGCGTGCTGCAGGCAGACGGGGGGGGGGGGGGGTCACGCAAAGGCTAGTGACGGCCGAAGTCTAGGAACGGCGGAGACTAAGTGTGGCCTAGGAACGGCGAACCTACTGATACCATCTCAAAAACTAAACACAGCGGAATGAGTTGGATTGATTGGGTTGGGGTACAAATGCCTAACCCTAACTGTTTGTACCCCATATAGCATGACCCACTAGAGGCTATAACATTTGACATTATCCACCTAGACAATGTTTTGACTAAATGTTCTGCTTTGAACACTTGTAATGACATTGAAATGTTTATTTGCAGCGCAAACGCTAAGGTCTTAGTGGGAACACACCGATTCATAAAAATGGGCGAGGAATGCTTCCAACGATTACCGACATCGCCCGGATATAAGACAGTGTTGAATATTAGACAGGGGTTGTCTATTATACGGGTGTCTCTACTAACAGGCTAGCCTTTTTATACGACACCTATTCGTGTGTACGAGATAAGACATATATGTCTTATAATCAGAACCGGGGTTTAGGGGTTTTCTTATAAACAGGGGGTGTCTTCTAGACTAGCCTTCCTTACTTTAGGTGGGTACATGCATACATTCATGAATCTCTACTTCTACCTAACCCCCCTCAGTCACCGCCTCCTCACATGCACTAACATTAGGCTCTACACCCAGGTCTGGCACTCGCCAGGCATGCCTAGCCGTCTCCCTAGGCTCGATCATGCGGTCAGCCTCGGCCGTCGCTCCGCGGTAGTTGGGGGTCTCCTGGTACAGCACCACCAGGCCGGTTGCCACGGCCACCTCCCGCACGCCCTCCGCCTGCATCGCCTCCTCCTCCTCCTCCTCCTCCTCCTCCTCCTCCTCCTCCTCCTCCTCCTCCTCCTCCTCCTCCTCCTCCTCCTCCTCCTCCTCCTCCTCCTCCTCCTCCTCCTCCTCCTCCTCTGGAGCCTGACCGAGCAGGCGCGTGTTGTCGCCTGTGGTCCCCCCGAGGGACATGTCCGCGGAGACATCGGTGGTGCTCCTGGCGCGCAGGTGAGACATCACCAGGTGGTTCTCCGTTCCGTCCAGCTTGCTTGAGATCCCACAATGGCGGAACGCGTCAATGATGATCTGCTTGGGGACTTGATCCCAAGCCTCCGTGATCCACTGCAGCACCACGGGGTGCGGAGGCCTCCGCAGGTTCCCTGCGGGTGGGACAGAGGACGGGGCAGCGAGATGTTAGAGACACGGACATGAAAGAGCATGTTAAAGACAAGGACAGGAGAGTGAACAGGAATTTACAATGAAAGACCAACTCACCCTTCTTCGTCTTCAGTTAAATCCCTTCACGCATGAACCACCTGGCGTAGCGCGCTCGCACGGCAGCCTTGAAGCACCGGTTGATGGAGACGTCCAGGGGTTGAATCTGGCTCGTACAACCCGCTGGGATGACTGTTGGGGTGATGCTGTGCGTGCGGTACAACTGAAGCATGGTCTGGGTGATGTGGCCGTGGTAAGAGTCCAACACCAGCATCGCACGTCTCGCGTTCTGGCCGCGCTGGGGGTTCAGATGGGACAGCACCTCCTTGGACAGCCACGTCTGCACAGCGCTCTCGTCCATCCACCCGTTGTCCTGTGCTTGGACCACGATTCCTGCCAGGCACACAAGGGACAGACGGGCATCAGCACAGTGGGGCAGGCTCATCAAGCACTCGCACGGTTGAATTCATTACGCTTACCTTCTGGAATCTCACAGTTGGGGACGTTCTTCATCTTGAACCACACCCACGGCCGCAGCTTCTCCCCGGATGCAGTGCACGCGAGCATCACCGTCAAGCGCGTCTTCTGGTAGCCTGCAGTGCGGATTGGGACCAAGCACGCGCCACGGTGCTCGATCGTCCGTTCGGTTGGCATCTCCACGAATAGTGGAGTCTGGTCCGCGTTGATGATGCGGGCCAGGTCGATGTTGTGCCGCGCCCTGTTGATGCGCACGAACTTCCAGAAGGACTCGCAGTCCTTCGCGCACTCTGCAAACGGGACAAGCGCAACGGAAGCACGGGATGGTTAGACACTAGGTGAAGTACATGCATTTAATAGCCCGCGCACGACACGAATTCCATCAGCACGCACCTACCGACAGACGTTGGCCGACCTTGGTCTTCACCCGCATCACCAGGTTCCAGCGGTCACGGAAACGCTGGCTCCAGTGAGAGCTCGCGTTCCAGTTCTTGCCGGGGTAATGCTTCTTCATCCACTCGCGGCTCCACTTCTAGGTGTCCTTCACCGAGATGGCCACCCCGTTAGCGCGCTGAAGGCAGATGTAGTGGCACAACGCTGCCTCCATGTCGGGGTAGTGTTAGTGGCGCCCCCCCCGTGTTTCCGCTTGCGGCAGTTAGCCGCGCCCTTGTAGACGCCCGCAGCCGCCTCCGCACACCAACGTCTAATGCAGGCGATGGACGCGGTTGACTCCACGCTCGTCTTCTTCAAGGAGCCGAGCTCCTAATAGCGGCGCGCCCACTTAAGCTTCTCACGAACGGTCCAACCGCTTCTTCGTACTGTCTTTGCTGCGAGGGGAAGGGGGGCGGGTGTTGGGATTATGGAGGGTGGGGTCCTTTGGCGTGACCTTCTCAGGGAACGTGGGAATTGATAAAAACTAAGGACGGAGTCTATGAAGATTAGGTGCCCAAATTTTTTAAAATCGTTGGTCTCAATTTCTGGACAGAAACGTCGACTTCACAAGAAACGTTGTCGACAAAAGGTGCACTTTTAGAATCCCACGAAATTCGAATATCTTGTAGCCCTAGACCGTGGCTACATTTCCCAATTTGAATCGTATCAAATTATGAAGAATATCTCGAGTTATACTTTTCGGCGCACTAGGGGGTATGCTGCCACAGAAATTTAACTCGATCACAATTAACTCACACGTCCCACAAAAGAACATTCGAGTAGCACTAAACCTGGTAGGAGGGGAAGAGGAGGACGAGAGGGAAGGTCCCAAGAGAGAGTCCCCAACCAAGGAAACCCCATGCCACACAATTCCCTTCCCCATAGGCAACAAACTTTGACCTTTATCACTTTCCAACCCATGCCATCCACCTCACCACAACTTGGCCACACTTACCAACCTGGTTTGGCTTCACCCAACCTCTTGGCAGCATCTACAGTGATGGGTTCGAATTTCCCAACCCCCACAAGTCTGTACCCCATATTGAGTCAATGCCACAACTTCCCAAAGTAGCTGCAACCAAAATATATAAGCATACGAACTCCAATGTTCGTAACTTTCTTGGTTGTGCTCCGATCGCGACGATTCATGGTTCGTCGGAAAGCTCTTGAGTAGAGGAATCACTTCAGATATCTGCTCAAGCCAAATAACATACACACACACACACACACAGAAAATCCAAACCACACAAGACACAAATTTCTTGCACACGCTCACACCATGCATGCAACGCACAAACACATGATGGGAGGCAGACAGACGTGAATGCATATGGTTGCATCACACAACAAACTCCCCCTCTGGCTGCCAACCATCATCCCACATGCCATAACTCAAGCATGCACCCTCAATGCACACTCATTCCCGCAAGCTTCATGCCCTTCCAATGCTCAGGTTCTGCCAGGCGCTTGGTGAGAATGTCAGCCGCCTGCTGCTGGGTCTTCACAATCTCCAGCCGCACCTCCTTGTCCAGGAGCCTCCTTGTCCAATGCCACTTTGGCCTGATGTGCTTTGTCAAGCCATGAAGACAGACATTCTTTGCAAGCTTCACCGCCGACTCATTGTCACAGAAAATCACAGTCGGCTCCCTCTGACACACTCCGATTTCCTCCAACAAACACCTCAGCCACACCACCTCCTTTGCCCCATGATGAAGGGCCATGTACTCAGTCTCACACTAGGACAACCCCACCTCATTCTGCTTTTTGCTGCGCCAGCTCACTGCACCACCTCCAAAGAGGCACACATAGCCTCCAATGCTGGTGCCATCCGTCTTTAGTGAGTTGAAGCTAGCGTCGGTGTAGCAAGTCAAGCGCATCTCCCCCTTGCTCAAATCAGCTGCACCTCTCTGTAGCCTCTATCGCACAGCACTGTACTCCAAGCCCACTGATGCTGTAGCGCTCACATAGCGGACCAACCTCTTGGCCGCTTCCATCTGCTCATGACTTGGGCATGAAACCACACTCGCAAGCCTGGATGTAGCAAAGGCAATGTCAGGCCGCGTGTGGTTAGCCGCATAGTTGAGTGCCCCCACCATGGAGTGAAACAACTTCCTGTCACTCTCCCCCAACACCTCCTCATCAGTACAGGGCTCCACAGTGAACCCCAAAGGCAGCGGGGTGGCTGGCTTTCCTGCATCTTGCAGCCCATACTTCTCAGCCAACCCCTCACAATACTTCCTCTGGTGCAACCTCAACACTCCCTTGTCAAGGTCCCTCTCCACGTGCATCCCAAGGTAGTACTTCACATCTCCCATCTTGGAGCACTTGAACTGCATTTCCAGCATCTCCTCCACACGTTCAATCATCGCAGACGACTCAGAGAAGAGCAGGATGCCGTCCACGTACACTAGGAGTATGAGGAACTGTTCCTTCTCTTGCAGCAGGAACAGGCTGTGATCACACTCGCTCTTCTTGAACCCCCCAGCCAGCAGTGTCTCCTCCAGCTTGTGGTACCATGCGCGAGGAGCCTGCTTCAGGCCAAAGATGGCCTTCTTGAGCCTGCACAGCCTGCCGCTCCCATCATCCAACCCCTCAAGCTGCAGCATGTACAGCTCCTCCAGAATGATTCCATTAAGGAAGGCAGTGATTATGTCCATCTGCTTGATCTTCCAGCCACGGTTTGCAGCCATTGCCAACATCGTCCTCAGTGTAGTGCCTTTCCCCACAGGAGCAAAGATATCATCAAAATCCTTCCCCTTTGTCTGTTGGAACCCCTTAGCCACAAGCCTTGACTTGTAGCGGGTCAGCTCCCCATCAGGTCCGTACTTGTGCCTGAAAATCAGCTTGGAAGAAATGGCCTTCTTCCCTGGAGGCAGCTCACACAGCTCCCACGTCTCGTTCTCCAGCAGAGAGTCATACTCCTCCTTCATACTCTGCTTCCACTTCTCAGCATCGGGCCCACTCAAGGCCTCGGTAAGTGTCTTGGGCTCAGGGACGGCTGCCCAGTAACAGTGCGCTATCTCCTCCTCATCACACTGCTCAGCCACACTTCCAGCATGCTCCACATTTCGTGAGCCAGTGCGATTATAGCTCAGCCTAATAGGTGGGCGTATATCCCTCCTAGGACGCTCAGGCGGGCGTGGGGCACATGGTGGAGCACGTTGCTGCTGCCGCTGCTGCTGCTGTTGATGCTGCTGCGGCTGCTGTTGCTCCTCCACTTCAGGTTCTCCCCCATCCTCGGTCACCCCAGAGATCTCCTCCTCAGAGATATAAACCTCCACTTGCCTCGAGGGCCGCTGCAACTCATCGGCCTCCATGATCAGAGGTGTAGTAGGGAGATCTGCTGCTGCTGCTTCCACTCCTTGTAGTACAAGGACTCAAGGAACTTCACATCCCTCGACACAGTCAGTTGCTGGCTGGTCAAGTCCCAAATCAGCCATCCCTTGTGATCCTTAGCAAGCCCCAAGTGCACACCCCATCTCCCAGAGGCTTCCAGTTTTCCCCTCTTCTCCTTAGGTACATGAAAAACCACCATGCACCCGTAGGCTCTCAGCATGTTCACCGTTGGTGCACTCCCATACCACTTGGTGTAGGGGACCCACTGCTTGTCCCCCACAGTTGCCAGCACCCTGTTCTTCACGAGGGCGACTTGTCGCAGTGCAGTCACCCAAAACGGATCCGGCAGCCCTGCACGCCCAAGGAGAGTGCGAGCACCTTCCTGCAGGGTCCGGTTGAACCGCTCAGCCACGCCGTTCTGCTGAGGGTTGTAGGGCACCGTGAGCTGATGCTGGATCCCCTTCTTCTTCAGCACCGCCTCAAAATCAGCGCCAATGAATTCTCCCCCGTTGTCAGTGCGGATCACCTTCACCTTATGTCCGCTCTCCCTTTGAGCCCTCGGCATCCACTCCTTAAGAACAGCCGCTGCCACCTCCCCCTTAGTCTTGAGAGGGTACACCCACACCGCACGCGTGTGGTCGTCCACAATCGTCAAGAAGTAGCGGCTGCCCGAGAGAGAAGGGGCCCTTGTGGGGCCCACCACATCCATGTGCACAAGCGCGAGTGGAACCTTGGCTGGTCCCGTGCTGCTGCTGAAAGGGAACTTGGTGAACTTTGTCTCGAGGCATGTAGGGCAGCTCCCAATCTCCTTCGCTGCCCCCTTCACCTCCAATCCCTTCAAGCTCCCATCCTTCACCAACTTCTGCAGCATAGGAATGTTGATGTGGCACAGCCTCTCATGCCACGTCTCCCAATCGGCCTCACCACTCCCAGACGAAGCCTTTGCCCATGCAGCCGTTGCATCCACACCAGCAAGCACCTCACCATGTGATTGCTGTGGCTGCTGCACCTTCTTGACTGTATCCAGGGCCCCAGCAGTTGGTGCAATCTCCTCTCCTCCCGCAGTTGCCTTAGCCGCTGCCGCTGCCTTTGCCGTTGCTGGAGGTTTCCCATTCCAAGGGATGATAGGCAGCTGCCACAAGTTCTTGATGCAGCTGCTCTTCTCCTCCAAATCCCAC